AAAAAAAATTACCTAAGTTAAAATATATAGATTAATTTGGTCGTTTTATCTCGTTTTTAGGGGTTGGGAAGTTGAAAATAGCTCAAATGAGCCATCAATATCATTATCCCTTATAACAAAATAACACGCACGACCATATAAAGTTGATATAAATTCTTATTTTTATTTTTTGGTAAAGGGACATTCCGGTTTCCAAATCCACAAGGAAACCGACTAATCCGGAATCGAGCCAGGTAGGACCACAAAAATTCTTATTTTTATTTATGTTTGCTATAACTACTTTGGTCCCATATTTCTTATCATTGAGAATCTCTATGCGTCACCCTTTTGACATTAATGTTTCAGTCAATGGAACAAAACGACACGATCTAGCAACAATTTAATATTAAAAAATTAATTATTTTTCTAAAATCACGACCAATTATCAACCTTATAATCTATGTAATATCTGTTTTTTTTTTTTGGGTACAAAGGATGAGACTAAACGCCTAAATATTTAAATTACAAATGGAACGTGGATACGTCACACCAATTAGATCATGTTGTAGCCAATGACGAATACCTTCCGATGGGTCATGAAATATCTGTATTTGATTTCTGCAGTTTGCAGTTAACTAAAGGATGTGATAACGATCATATACACATTTTGTTTCCAATTACAAAATATATACATTTTTAAATTGAAATTTCCAAATTTTTAAAAATAAATTTAAAAAATAAATGATATTTTATGATATAAAATATAATTTTTTGTTAAAAAGTATGAAAGCTTGACCGCCTAATGATTAAATTATATATATATATAATAAAAAAGGGATAAATAAAAAAGAAAAAGCAAATTTAGTTAGAACAACCCTTAGCTAGAAATAACACAAATATATACAACACCAAATTAAACTCCCATTAATTTACAAACAATCTCTACAATTTTCTTTTCTTCACACATAGAGTGTAGCAGTGTATGATAAAAAAAAAGTAAGGTAAAAAAAAAAAANNNNAAAAAAAAAAAAATAGATATATGATTGGAATTTGGGTACTCGCAACAAGTAAAACAAAAATACAATTTTTTTTTTGAGGGGTTTGATATTCCAAATATATAAAATATGTTAAATTGTATTTTTAGTCATACTGGTTTAACGCCATAGCAATTTCTGATTTAATATTTTGCTGCAATTTCAGTACTAATTGCAACGAATTTCCGAATTCATATTTTTGCGATAAACTTTTTTTTTCGTAATTTAAGTCCTACAATTTAAAATTTTGTTGCAATTTAAATTGCACCAAATATTAAATCATAGGACTAGAAAACAAAAAGGCTGAAATTAAGATTAAAATTGTTATGGCGTTAACCAACATGACTGAAAATACATTTTTACCCATAAAAATATATGTATATATGTATTTAAATTACTAATTAGTTAAAAAAAAAAAAAACTTTAAATTAATCACACAATCTCATGAAAAAAAGGATCATCAAGAAGCTCAGACCACAACTGAGCCGCTCCATAGCTCGACGTGCTGCAAGCATCTCCGCCGTTACTATACGAACTCTCCGCCACCGCCACCGGCACCACCACCGGCGACACATTCTCCGTCTGCCACGTCATCGAATCCTTAACCGAGGGAGCCTCGACTCGTAAATCTGGAAGATGAGAAAATGCAATATCCACCGGTTCGATAAAATAATCCCCCTCGTGCTTCGGCTCCATTGCCGGATTTTGCATTTGGCCCAAGAGGCTAAACCCATCGGCAAGCGTCGTCATATTATTGTTATTAATATTATTATTATTATTAGCGGTCGATAATGGGCAGTTCGTCAAAACATCAGCGTTTTGGAAAGACGGAGGCTGAAGAATGTGGTGTTGTAGCTGTAGATAGCTGTTGAGCCGAGCCATGTGGTTGACGGCTTCGTTTTGGAGCCGCGCGGCTTGCTCTTCCCAGCTCGGGCTCTCGAATAAGAGGTCCTTGAGACTGGCTAGGGCTATGAGGTGGGGTAGGCTCGAGAAAATATCGGTTCTCGGCCGGTGGGTCATCGGGTCGAAACCCATTTGGATTAGCTTCTTCTTGAGGTGCGTGTTCCAGAAGTTTTTGATCTCGTTGTCGGTTCTTCCTGGTAGGTGGGTCGCGATGGCCGACCACCTTAAATTTTACGGAAAAAAAAAAGAAAAAAAACATTTCACTTATTGTGAATAATATATTTAGGTGGACTCTAATTTATGTAAGTTCTATAACACAAATTATTACGAAAGAAGTGAAAGAAAAAAAGAGATGGGCGATCGATAATCGATTAGTACTTATTGCCAAGAGCGGCGTGGAGATTGAGAATGGTTTGTTCCTCTTCTGGAGTGAATTTGCCTCTCTTGATGTCCGGCCGTAGGTAGTTGGTCCACCGGAGTCTGCAGCTCTTTCCGCACCGATTAAGGCCTAATTCGAAAAATCGAGACAAGTATTGTTTACGTAAACGAACGAAAATTTCGCGCCACGAAAGAGAAGAAGATCGAATGCATTAAATTGGACAAAAGAAAAAATATGTAAAAAATATGAATACCGGCGAGTTTGGGGAGGGCTCTCCAGTTGCCATGGCCGTGTTTTTGGATGTGCTCGACGAGCTTATCGTCTTCTTCAGGAGTCCATGGCCCTTTCTTCAGACCACTCTCATCACAGCATGGAGATCGTCCCATGCTTTTGTTTTTTTGGCCTTTTTTTTCTAAAATTATGTGAATTAATATGTGAGTTGCTTGTATGATTTGGCTTTGCCTCCTCAAAATCCTACCAAATGACTTAATCATCCCATTTTATGTGCATATATATATATAACAACGTAGCTGCTCCTGGGCCATCATTAATTTTTTGTCTTCATATTGTACAGGGGACGTGTAATACGACCTGATCCTTACTAAGTGGTAACACGACCTAAACCAAGTGGTACACCAAAGGGTACATGTAGCATGATCCTTACTTACTAAAATGCCATTCCCCGACCCCTTTTTTTTTTCTTTTAATAGAAATGAAATGGCTTTCTATATATGTTTGGCTGTAAAATTTTTCAATGAGACAATCTTAGCGTGCCGATAGATAGATGGGTCGACTTGTCATACTATTTAAATAAAATTGAATAGTTATAGTTTTTTGTGGAAAGAGTATAATGTTGATATATCATATAATAATGGTTTATATACCAGTGAATTTTTTTTTTAGCCATTTACATTTGCAAAACACAAATTTTGGCCACCTTTTTAAAAAAACCTTTTTTTTAGCCATTTTGGCACCTAAAAAGACAAATATACCCTTACTACAATTTTTTTTTTAAAAAAAAATAATCTCTTTCATCTCTCTCTCTTCTCTCATCTATCATCTCTATTCACTCATCTACAAAAAATTCAATCTCTTAAAAAAATTGATTTTCACTACATGCATTCCGGCAATATTTCGGTGATATCTCGGAAATATTAGTTCAAAGGTATTGTTATAATTTATCTTCTTTTTAATAGGCCACACACATATGTATATATACTATTTAAATTAATAAAATGAATATGGCAAAAAAAAAAATTGTAGAATAGATTTCTTGGAAAATGGAATGGTTTCTGGATCAGAAATGTGATTTCTGGGACAAGAAATCACATTTCTGACCCAGAAATCGATTTCTGGTTAGTCTCAGTTCTTGTCATAGAAATCGATTTCTGACCCAGAAATTAATTTCTGACCCAGAAATCATATTTCTGACCCAGAAATCGATTTCTGGATAGTTTCATTTCTTGTCCTAGAAATTGATTTCTGACCCAGAAATCAATTTCTGACCCAGAAATCATATTTCTGACCTAGAAATTGATTTCTGGGTAGTTTCATTTCTTGTACTAGAAATCAATTTCTGACCCAGAAATCAATTTCTGAACCAAAAATTATATTTCTGACCCAAAAATCGATTTCTGGATAGTCTTATTTCTTGTTCTAGAAATCGATTTCTGACTCAGAAATCAATTTCTGACCCAGAAATCCCATTTTTGACCTAGAAACTGATTTTTGGATAGTTTCATTTCTTGTCCTAGAAATCGATTTCTCACCCAGAAATTGATTTCTGACCCAGAAATCAATTTCTGGATAGTCTTATTTCTTGTACTAGAAATCGATTTCTGACCCAGAAATCAATTTCTAACCCAAAAATCTCATTTCTGACCCAGAAATCGATTTCTGGATAGTTTCATTTCTAGTCATAGAAATCGTTTTATGGATTATTTCTTGCCAAGAAATTGACTTCTTGTCAAGAAATTAATTTCTTGACAAGAAATGCATTTCTTGACTAACAATTGATTTCTTGTTCAGAAATTGATTTCTGGGTCAGAAATCAATTTCTAGTTCAGAAATGTGATTTCTTGCCCAGAAATTGATTTATGGGCAAGAAATACGTTTCTGGGTTATAAATGACATTTCTGGCCTAGAAATCGATTTCTGAGGTAGAAATGTGATATCTGGCCCAGAAATCGATTTCTGGTTCTAGTCCCAGAAATCTGTTTTATTATTTGTTTTATTATAAACATTGATTACTTAATTCTCAAATATTCCTCGCTAGAAATTGTTTTTCATTAAATACTTTTACATCTTTGGTTTACAGATGTGTGAAAAAGTTCGAATTGTGCATAGCGGATTTCGGGATGAGAATGTTTATAAAAATGGACAGGCAGAGATGAACTTTATAAAAATTGTTGTGTGTATTTTTATTATGTTAATGTAATCATCATTTTATAATTTATTTTTTTTTTTATATTTTTGTAACACTCTAGGCGTAGCCGTGCATGAACTCCGTAGCGCCTAAAGTCACTAAAATTTTTCAGTTGTGTGTCGTGGCGGGAAACCACGCTATTGTAACGCCATGTATTTGTAATTAAAAGAAAAAAGGTTGAAAAAAATATATATATACACGGAAATCGTGGATCAACTCGCAACTCGTGGAGAAGATGACGCGCCTCGCAGGAATATGTCGCCACTCGCGGTGAAGAGCATAGTGTTTAACACTTTATGCACCTTAGGCTCGCGACTCGCGAGGGTGCAATGGATTTAGTCCCCAGAGCTGAGCATGAAGGATGTTCCAATCAAGTTAAGTTATATGAGATGAATGTGGTGATTACATTATATACACATCGTACATGCAGGCTTACGTGCCAACCAAAAAGGGCAACAAAAATTAACATTAACAAAAGAATTGTTGAGCTGAAACAATATTTTCCAACAAGTACCAAACACCATATGATCTTATCCGATAAGTTAAATAGAATTTCCATAAAATTGAAACGTCCAATATACAAAGTTCAAGTGTACATCCACACTGAGTTTACATCATCACCAAGGGCTATTCAAACCCAAAACCAACAACCAAAAGAGGCCAAAAAATAACAAAATTGGTAACACTATGCAAAGCATCCTTACATACAAAGAGACCTAAACAAAAACTACGAAAACAGATCTAAAACAACAATTCCTCCAACAAACCAGATGCTCCTACAAAAACATCCATCAAAGACAAGAAAATAGTACAACAATCATTCAACATCTAAAATCGTTTCTAGAACCAAAAATAATTTCTGGGATCCATAAATCGTTCTAGTCCCAGAAATTTCTAGGATCCCAGAAAACATTTCTAATTCCATAAATCATTAAAATATCCCAGAAATGATTTTTGAATCCCTAAAATGGTTTATGAGATCCATGAGATCCAAGAAACAATAAAAACATCTCAAAAACGGTTTTTGAGTCATATAAACCATTTAAACAAATGCCATATAAATAAGTGGCGTTGGATTCGCAAAATTGAAGGATGCATTGATTTACACTCTCATATTTATAGTAAAATACAATGTTGTTGGATTCGGAAAAAGAAACAAATGAATTACCACATTATGTGTAAAAAGTTTATGAACAATTGACAGAGAAAAACTACCTTTGCTGAAATGATTATAACATTGCAAATTGTAAAGACAATAAACTCACGTATAATATAATGTCAGACTACCAAAAGTCAAACAAAATTGAAGATTAAGGGCAGCAGCTCTAGTCTGTTGACACAATCACATAAGATACGGTATGCTGCAACAACAAATAAGCATGTTAATGCCAACCTAAGAAAGAAAATGACAAGAAGTCATTTTATTTCCTTTTTCAGCTGCAAGACCCAGAGAAATTAAGTTAAAGACATTGCACCATATATTCATGAAAACATATATTCATGAAAACAGATAAAAGATAAAAGAAAGAAAACATGAATTTAAAAATAATGAATATGATAATATGACCAAATTTTTACATAGTTTACTTACATTGTGATGAGAAAGGCC